AACCTTTGCCCACATTAAAGATGACGTCATAGACGTGCACACACATTTTGGGGTCAGAGGCCACATACAGTTAATTACAGCTTTAGGAGGGTTATTTAAATCCAAATTGCCTTTTGATCAGTGCCCTGTCATAGTTTCCCTTTGCTGGTTTTCCGAGAGAGTGTTCTTGATCGTATTATTCTGGTTTTTGACTTTGGCTTCATTTTGACTTCCCTGATTTCCGGTATCCTTGACTTTTGGCTTTCCCTCATCGTTGTGTCTCATTCTGTATCCCTGACTTCGGCTAGTATTTTGACTATTCTTGGATACGTTAAGTCCGGCCATTCTAAGGTCCGGTTAGATGTCACCCTTAGTCCTAGGTGTGATACTATTTCTTTTTTTTAAATTCTTTTATTTTTGGCGTGTGTTTACATTGCACTTTGGCAATTAAGTAGGCATAACATAGTACATACATTTATACTGTCGAGTGCATATATATAATGTGTATTGCGATTCTTACAGTATCATGTTCATTGTCTCAAGGTTAGGTGTACTTTTGTTGGCGACACATGTTGGTGTGATACTATTTCTGGATGAACTAGTAATCCTGACCATATACACATTAGGTCACCAATGCTCCTCTATGAGGACCGTCGAAATGTACCCTCACCGAGAAGACAGTACCTCCTCTGTGGCATTGGCTGTGGAGGAGAGAACAGCAACACAAAGGTATGTAAAACTTAATTAGATAAAATAATCTTCTTTCTATTCTTTTTTTCATGTGCTTATCACCTTATCTACATTATTGGATCAGTTGTGAATGTCTGACTTCCAGTATTTCAGAAAACATTGTATCTAGTCCTGTTAATTGCTTTGAGGCTCCCTGTTTTGCCTTTTGACTGGTTGTTTCTCCATTCTAACTTTGACAAAGGCGCTTGAGTAGCGCCGAAACGGATGTTAGGTTTCATGCTCTTTTTTTATTTTAACCACAGCACTTGTTGATGTGCTCACGGGGTGGGGGAGTGAGATCTATCTAAGCCTATGTAGTGATAGGATTTATTAGATTTCGGACTATAGGCAGTTATCCTTTTCAGCATAGAGGGGGGAGAAGAGGGAGGAGATGGGGAGGGAGGAGATGGGAGAGGGGAAGGGAGGGAGATGGGGAGAGGGAAGGGAGGGAGATGGGGGAGAGGGGAGGAGAGAGATGGGAGAGGGGAAGGAGGGAGATGGGAGGGAAGGAGGAGAGAGGGGAAGGGGAAGAGAGGGAGGGAGAGGGAGAGGGAGAGGCGGAGGAGGGAGGGAGGAAAAAACTGAGAGGAGGTATGGGGAAGAAAACTGAGGTATAGAATTGGAGAAAGCAGAAAGGAGGTATAGGGGGAAAAGAAAAACTGAGGAGAATATAGGGGGAAGAAAGCTAGAGGTATGGGGAAAGAAGCATAAGGGAGGTATGGGGAGGAAAACTGAGGAGGTATGGGGAGGAAAACTGAGAGAGGATGGGGAAGAAAACTGAGGGAGGATGGGGAAAAACTGAAAGTATGGGGAAAAACTGAGAGAGGTATGGGGAAAAGAGCGAGGGAGTATGGGGAGAAAGCAAGGGAGTTATGGGGGGAAAACTGAGGAGTTATAAGGGGAAAACTGAGGTATGGGGAGGAGAAAAGCGAAGGGAGGTATAGAGGGGAGAAAAACTGAGGGAAGATGGGGAACTAAGGAGAGATGGGGGGAGAAAATGAGGGAGGGATGGGGGGAAAGAAAACAGTGAGGGGGGGAGAGGGGGGACGACATACACACAGCACCCCTGCCCTACACACATCACCCCACACACACACCACCCCACACACAAACACTGTACCCATCAATGCAGTGTGTGTACACTCAGCAGACTGTCTGTGTGTGTGTGTGTATTTAGCAGTCTGTGTGTGTGTATTTAGCAGACTGTGTACTCAGCAGTGTGTGTGTATATTCCGCAGTCTGCTAAATACAGACAGACTGCTAAGTACACAGACAGACTGCTAAATACACACAAACTGCTGAGGTATAGGGGGGAAGAAAACTGAGGGAGGTATGGGGGGGAAGAAAACTGAGGGAGGTATGGGGAGGAGAAACTGAGGGAGGCATTGGAAGAAACACATAAATAAAGAAAACTGAGGGAGGCATGGTGAGGAGGTAGAAAACTGAGGAGGTATGGGGAAGAAACTGAGGCTGAGAGTGTCTGAGGGAGATGGGGGAGAAAACTGAGTGGGGAGAAAACAGTGATTGCATCACATCACCCTGTACAGGGTGTGTACACTCAGCAGTCTGTCTGTGTGTGTACACTCAGCAGTCTATGTGTCTGTGTGTGTGTACTTGGCAGTCTGTGTGTGTGTGTATTTAGCAGACTGTGTACTCAGCAGTGTGTGTGTGTATTCCGCAGTCTGCTAAATACAGACAGACTGCTAAGTACACAGACAGACTGCTAAATACACACAAACTGCTTAATACACACACACAGGTGTTAATTAGTTCAGACAACTGTATGAGTTGTTTTTTCTAAACTTAAACCTCAGTATTCATGTTTAATTGCCGTTTTGGCACTTTGAGGAAAAAAAAATTGGCATGTATTACGGTTTGGGCACTCGGGCTCAAAAAGGTTCGCCATCACTGCTATAGGGTGTTCTGTCTCTTAGTAATTTATTAGTATTTTTTCAATACTACCTTTATTCATATATAGATCCAGGTCTCCCCTTAGTGTGTTGAACTTAGAAGTGATGTTTTCTATTTGTTTCCTTTTTATTTTGGGGGAATCAATACCCTATAATAAAGACTTTTTAATCAATATATATGTGCATACCAAGAGACCCCCTATTTTTTGTGTTCTCATAACTGTTTTTGCTGGAGATCACCTTCAGTCTAAAGTCCATTCTAACTTTACAATGAATAAAAACATCAATAAAAACTGATTTACATAAAACCAAAAAGAATGATTTGACCTGCTAAATAATCTAATAATGGATTATTGCAATTGGCACCAGCCTACAGCTTACAACCACTGTTTGAGCTCTCACCAGTGCTGGTGAGAGTGGAGGAGAGATGTTTAAATTCTGCACGCTCAAGTTGTGATGGTTCTTAAGAGTGCCCTTTTAAAGCATGACTGTGACTTCTTTGGAAGTCAAGCCCCAGTAATGATAGGGAAGGGTTTACAATGGTGAGCAATGCAATGGAAGTATTAAAAAATAAAACATTTTGTGTGCCCACGATGACAATATCCCCTCATGATGTTTTGCGAGCACAGATCATCTGCAGAGAAATGCCAAACAGGAACATACTCAGATATTCTTACTATAGTGTTGTTTTTCTAGGAGCTTCGTATTGCTGGTATGTCAATATCCTTCTAAAACCCATGAAACTATCCACTTCCTGTTATTACTATGTTTAAGAAACCTCAGTATGCTCAAAGTCCACTCTTCAGCTCTTTCAGGTCTATGCAATGTCTCATGAGCTTTGGAACACCTCATATCCATGTCTCCAAAATATTTATGCGTATCCAACCTCCAACTAGAAACTCAGCTCCTCCTTGGGACTTGCCTCTGGTCTTAAGTACCCTAACCGAACTTCCTTATACCCCTCTACAAGAATTTACTGTTCAAAGGATTACCTACAATGCCCTATTGCTGATAGTCATCTCTACTGCAAACAAATATCAGAATTTCAGGCTTTTTCAAGTAATGAATCATACACTCTGATTTACCACGATAGAGTGGTCTTAAAACACATGGAAGACTTTTTACCCAAAGTGGTCTCAAACTTTCATCCTTCTTCTCCTCATGAAAAAAAAACTCCACAAATTATAGGTCAGGGATTGTATTATTTGTTACCTCTCTGTCACCAAGGACTTCCAAAAGTCTGATAAATTGTTTATTCTTCCATATGTGTCATGCGGTATCTCTTCCGGGTTCGGCACTTCCGCATTGCGGAGCCGGCCCTGCCCCCTTCTGACACGGCTCTGACAGTACTTAGGGACTTAGGGAGACCGCGCCAGGGAGAAGGCGCTTGGTGATTGTGGGACCTACTTCCGGGTATACACGCCGGCTCCACAAGCTCGGACATATGTGTCATGCGGTATCTCTTCCGGGTTCGGCAGCGGAGCCGGCCCTGCCCCCTTCTGAGCGGCTCTGACAGTACTTAGCCGCGCCAGGGAGAAGGCGCTTGGTGATTGCTCCACAAGCATGTCCCAGCCTTTGAGCCAATGCAAGGATTACTGCATGCCATAGAGGATTACTGGATATACTTTGCTAATTTACAAGTGGACTATAACTCTGAACTCTTGGAGGACAACTCACCTTAACCTTAAGTATATCTTTCAACTATTGTCTGCAATATAATTTATTAATGAACCAATTCCTGCTTGCTCAAATCTTCTCTGCTTCAAGTTATTATTTATATGGAGGACAACTCCCATCATGCTTATTTACTATGAACTGTTTCTTGGAACCAATTCCTGCTTGTTCAAATCTTCTCTGCTACAAGTTACTAATTATATGGAGGACAACTCCCATCATGCTTATTTACTAAGAACTGTTTCTTGCTTTGCAAATACTCTTTGCTACCTGCTTAATGTTTCTATTGAAGATTATTCCCAGCAACCTAAAGAATCTTATTAAAAACTTCACTGAGGAAATCCTCATGAATGAACTTTGTATTGTTTGATAACCTGCACTTTCTTCTTATTGGATTATTGCCTATATGCAATTCATTTAAGTTTATCAATCATTAAAACTTCGATTCTCAAATTGCCAGCAATCCTCTCTTTGCTTAAAGCTACAGTATTGATACTTTAAAGATTCTCCGTTTCTTCACTATTGTAATTAAGGAGTTCTACAAGCTGCAGTTGAGTTCCAATCCAAATAACCCAAGTAGCATAACAATATGGTAGTCACAAAGGTGAAGCTGTTTTATCTTCAACTCTAAGAAGCTGGATTTGCAGTTATCACAGATGCCTATATGCAGAACAATATGTCATCTCCAGCTACAGTCAAAGTTCATTTCACAAGATCACTATCCACATTCTGATCTAGCTGGGCAGTGGTTCCTCCTGATGATATATATAAGGCAGCAATCTGGTCCTCTCCCGTGTATGTCATTAACCACTACAAACTGGATCTGGCTTCTTCCACTACTTCTTTTTGCAAATGAGTTCTCTCCTCACTGTTTTATTACAATAGACATTAAATTCTTGAGCATCTTATACTGGTGTCTGGACTACTTTTCCCCACGCTATTTGTTTTGCCTTAGCTTGGGTATTACACATAAGTGATACTGCCATGATAAGACAGGAATAAGGAAATTTTATAGTGTATATTTTTTGTATATATTATGTATTTTTTCTTTGTTCATGATGCTTTATCCCTGACTGATTTATGGAAGGAGGGACCATTTATACATGCAGTCTTCATTCTTGACTTCAGTGTTTCCTGTCCTGTTCTGGCTGGGGGTGAAGCTACCCATAATTTATGCTGCCATGAATAGTAGCCAGGAAAAGAAAATTATTCACTGGCAGCATCACTTACAAGACACACTTATAATACAGCCCAGTGTGGTTACATGGAAAATTCACCAGAGCTGTTGGTGGATATAAAATAATCAAATAATGATGTATAGCTCTATATTTCAATTGCTGTGTGTATTTAAAAGCCTTCAATTATGAAAGAAATGGGATTGATCGTAGAGGGAAAAAGAGTATCTGCATACAAATGCCACCTTTCAAACATGTTAAAGTCATATTTAGTTTAAAAAGATATGCGTCAATTCAAATGCTTGACAGTTGCTCACTCTGCAAGCTGAAAAAAAAAGTGAATTGTTTTTTTTCATATTTACTTGCATCTTCTTTCTTATGTTTTCCACACCCACTCCAGGGGTGTGGAGGGAGGGGTACTGATCTAACCAATCAGGCTCCTATCCCTAGGAATTCTGGATAAGAACATTGGACATGTCTGACAGATTTACACATATGCAGTTGTAGGATTTCTTCACCTTACAACATCCTGACAGGGTGAGAAGAGAGGCGGTCTGATCAGTGTCATGCAGAGCAGACTCCGACGTCCAGTTTCTTTCATCTGCCGTTGCACAGTAATGCCTTGTTTTTGTCTTTCGTGGACTGGTCTGAAACTGAAATGGGTTTGTAAGAGGGAGGGGTAGGGACTGACAAAACTCCCCTATCTGAAAGGTTTCCCAATAATTCTGACTAAATCTGACTAAGTTTATAGTAAGTTTAGAAACATTTATTACATACTTTTTAAAGTTTTCTTGTTTTATTTTAGTTTATACATTTGTTTGCTTGCAGGTTTAAAAAAATAATTGTAAAGTGATGCATTTCCCTTTAAGAAATATATAGTCTGAGCAGCTGCATGCAAGTACGTCACATACAGTCGAGCATTGTGCTAAGTCGTCATTGTACCCTTAATCATGGATTTATTTTATCAGGGCTGTAATCTAAGCAGGATGAATATCCAATTGTGTAGATTTCTATTTGTAACTTAGTTATTTGCAGAGAACATGTTCTACTGTCACAAACAACAGAATTATATTTGTGTTTCCTTGTCCTTCACCAATTGGGATCAAATGGTGGTAATACATTTTTGATGGATGCTTAAGTGTTCACCTACAGTAGAGAATAATAGTCTGTCTACATAGAGACATGCGTCCATCAAGTTCAACTTTTCTCACTAGTTTTGCTATTGATCCAAAAGAAGGTAAGAAAACAAAACGAAACACAGTTTGCAGCACTTTTCAATTTTGCAACAAACTAGGAAAAAATTCCTTCTTGACCTCAGAATGGCAGCCATGTCGCCTTAGATCAAGAAGCTATTGCCCCCTAATAAAAAAATATGATATCCCTGAATATATTTTTGCAACTATTCATCCAGTTGCTGTTTATAGATCTGTATAGACTCTGAAAAAACCACCCCTTCAGATGGTTCTCTGCAGAGAATTTCACATCCTTATTGCTTTTACTGGGAAAAAAAACAACAAAAAAAACAACTTTCCTTTGCCTTAGACTAAATCTCCTTTTTTTCAGTCTAAATGCATGAGCTTGTGTCCTATGTATAGTCTTGTTTATGAATAGATTTCCAGACAATGCTTTGAATTGGCCCCGAATATATTTGTATAATGCTATCATATCCCTTCTGAGGGCCTGTTTTTCTTAACTTTTCTAAACCTTTCTTCAGAACTAAAATGCTCCATTCCTTTTACTAATTTTGTAGCCTGCCTCTTTTTCTAGTGCAAAAATATCCTTCTTTAGAACAGATGCCCACAATTTCACATCATATTTAAGGTGTGGTCTTACCAGCGATTTATAAATAGGCAAAATTATAATTTCATCCAGAAGATTAATGCAGCTTTTTATGAATGACAATACCTTACTGGCCTTAGCAGGTGCTGATTGACATTGCACACTGTTGCATAGTTTGATGTCTAAAACAATTCCTAAATCCTAATAATTGTAGCCAGTCTCTGCACTTTTTCTAGCGCCATAATATCCTTCTGAAAAACAGGCATCCAAAACTGCATAGTACATACAAGGGTGTCTTACCATTGCTTTACAAAAAGGTAAAGTTATATATTTATCATGAGAATGACTGCCCCGATGTATACATGACAATACCATACTGGCCTTGCTACCTGCTCATTGACATTGCACATGGTTTCCTTGTCTGTTTTCTATAACAATTTCCAAATCCTTCTCACGTGTGGTTATCCCTAATTCACTACCATTTAGGGTATAAGTTGCTTGTGCATTACCCCCAAAGAGCATAATTTTGCATATATCTACATTAAATTTCATTTGAGTGCCCAGTCGCCCCAATCAATCTGAAAGGAACACTATATAGAAACAAAAACATGTATTCCTGACCCTATAGTGTTAAAAACACTATTGAGCCCCCCTAAACATAAAAAATTCTTACCTCATTTCCTGCTCCGCGTGGATCCACTGGCACTAGCTCCACCCCAATCTGCCTCTTTGGCTGACATCAGAAGTGATGATCTCACCTAATTCCAAATCTTCCCCATAGAAAAGCACTGTACTAGTTGAGATCGGCAATTCTAATGATCTCAGCTAAGCAGACGGGGCGTAGTCAAACGCCTCCTTGGCCAATCAGCATCTCCACATAGAGATGCACTGAATACTATAGTATTCCTTTAAACCCTGTGCAGCAAAGTAATATCCTGCTCACATTGTATTACTTCACAGAGTTTTGTGTCATCTGCAAACACTGAAACAGGACTTCCAACAATTAAAAGATTATTTATAATATGTTAAATAGAAGCTGTCCTAGAACAGAACCCTAAGGGACACCACTTACAGGTTTAAAATGCACCCTTAATGACAACTCTCCATGCTCGGTTCTAAATACCCAAATAAACAGGAGATCAAGGACCTGATAGGTGTAGGAGAAACTGCTACAAATGTGCAGCTTCTCGACGGTCCTGTGTGGTCTGGGAAATATCGGAAGGGGAGAGTTCTCAGCTGTAGGCTTTGTTCGAGTTGCACTCTGAAATACGGTGCAGCCGTTTGTGTTGTTACATCGGCAGGGCGCTCTCCGCTCTGGGAACCGGCTGTACAGACCGCTGGAGGGGACAGGCTGTAAGCAGATCGGTAGTCTTTCGCTCCTACCCATTTTGTGAGTATGTACTAATTTCCTGAGGGAGTACGAAAAGACTAAAAGGTCTAATAGTAAAAGGTATGGAGGCAATTAAACCAAGTTGGCGATCAATTAAAAACCCTCAGAAGGAGGGAATCATATTGGATTTTTAAGTTAGGTACCCTCTATAATGGTGGTCTTAATAAAGATCTTGACCTAGCAGCTTTTTAACTATATATTTTTTAAGAAGGAAAGGCAACCGAGAGGGAAAAGAGAGAGTGACTTTTTATATCTTCCTTTTTTATTCTCTCTCCCCATTTCCTTAATTCTATTTTCTTCCTACTTCCCTAAATCTCATTGGGCAGCTCATTTTAGGAATTGATGGTTTTGCACTTTGTTGCTTCAGCTAAGCAATATGAGTTTTGATACAATGTTGCATTTTTAATTTCCATAATAGTATACAATGTATCACAATGTTCCTAGCATGGATAGGCTATTTTGTATTATCATTTTGTTTCAATATAAAGGAATCACTACTTCTATTAATATTTATTATTTGGAATCTTTATATCTCCTAAAACACTATTTCCTTATGGAGTGTAAGAGGTTTAGCCTTATCTCAAAATATGAAAAGGTTTTATACATTTATATATCTCTATGTTGTCTAAATTTTAAAAAGAAAAAATATTTAAGACAATCACTTTTACCCTTAGGGTATATAATAGAACACTGCTACATAGTTACAAAGCTGAAAAGAGACTTGCATCCATCAAGTTCAGCCTTCCTCACATTTGTTTTTTGCTGTTGATCCAAAAGAAGGCAAAAAACCCAGTTTGAAGCACAATTTTGCAACAAGCTAGGAAAAAAATTCCTTCTTGACCCCAGAATGGCAGTCAGATTTATCCTTGGATCAAGCTGTTATTACCCTACATTGAAAGATTGTATCCTTGAATATTTGCAAGTACACATCTAGTAGCTGTTTGAACATCTGTATGGACTCTGATAAAACCACTTCTTCAGGCAGAGAATTCCACATCCTTATTGTTCTAAAAAAACCTTTCCTTTGCCTTAGACGAAAACTTCTTTCTTCCAGTCAAAACGCATGACCTCGTGTCCTATGTAAAGTCCGGTTTGTGAATAGATTTCCACACAATGGTTTGTACTGGCCCCGAATATATTTGTATAATGTTATCATATGCCCTCTCAGGCAACGTTTTTCTAAACTAAATAGGTTTAAATTTGGTAGCCTTTCTTCATAGTGGATATGTTCCATTCCTTTTATTAATTTTGTAGCCCGTGTCTGCACTTTTTCTAGTGCCATAATATCCTTCTTTAGAACAGGTGCCCCAAATTGCACAGCATATTCAATATGTGGTCTTACCAGTGATTTATAAAGAGGCAAAATGATATTCTCGTCCTGAGAATGAATGGCCTTTTTCATGCATGACAATACCTTACTGGCCTTGGCCACTGCTGATTGACATTGCACATTGTTGCATAGTTTGTTGTCTATAACAATTCCCAAGTCCTTTTCGTGTGTTGTTATCCCTAATTCGCTTCCATTAAGGGTATACGTTGCTTGTGTATTCTTTACGCCGAAGTGCATAACTTTGCATTTTACAACATTAAATTTCATCTGCCATTTGAGTGCCCAGTCCCCCAGTCTATCTAAATCCCTCTGCAGAAAAGTAATATCTTGCTCATATTGTATTTTACAGAGTTTTGTGTCATCTGCAAACACTGAAACATGACTTTCAATGCTGTCAAGATCATTTATAAACATGTTAAACAGAAGGGGTCCCAGAACAGACCCCTGAGGGACACCACTTGCCACCTTTGTCCAGCTTGAAAATTTACCATTAATGACAACTTTGTACTCTGTTTTTAAGCCAATGTTCTACCCAAGAACAAGCATTTTCATCTAGACCGATTTCCTTGAGTTTGAACACTAATCTATTGTATGAAACTGTATCAAATGCCTTGGCAAAATCCAAATAGATCACATCCACTGCAACACCCTGAGCTATACTTCTACTTACTTCTTCGTAGAACGCAATCAAGTTAGTTTGACATGACCTGTGCATCATAAAACCGTGTTGATTTTTGCTGATAACCATGTTTTTCTCAAGGAATTCTTGAATATTATCCCTTAATAACCTTTCAAATATTTTACCAGCCACAGAAGTAAAGCTCACAGGTCTATAATTTCCAGGCAAGGATTTTGAATATAGGAACCACATCTGTCTTCCTCCAATACTCCGGAACACTTCCTGAAAGAAAAGAATCTTGAAAGATTAAAAGCAGAGGTTCACTTATTTCTACATTTAGTTCCTTAAGTACTCGTGGATGGATACCGTCAAGCCTTGGAGTTTTGTTTATATTAACTTTCTTTAGTTGCTGCAGCACCTTGTCTTGAGTTAACCAATTACAATTATTCCGCAAGTTTTTAGTAGCAATCATTTTCACATCTATTGCCATGGGTTCTTCCTTAATATATAAGCAAGAACTAGTATCGGTAATCTTTCATGCTCCATGAGGAAGTGAGTACCCGAAACGCATAGGAGAAAAAGACTCCCGATCTGCTGACAGCTGGTTCCCGCCGACGTAACACAAACGGGTGCACCATATTTCAGAGTGGAACTCGAACGACACCTACAGCTGAGGACTCTCCCCTACCAATATTTCCCAGATCACACAGGACCATCAAGAAGCTGCACATTTGTAGCAGTTTCTCCTACACACCCATCAGGTCCTTGATCTCCTGTTTATTCGGGTATTTAAAACCAAGCAGGGAGGGAATAAAATTTATTTTATCATAGAAACCCCTCTCAGTGTTTGTGTATTTTGCGCTTTTTTTTTTTTTAGGTATATTTACTTTCCAGTGACAAGGATTTTCCTAGGACATTTCTCTCCAAAGGCAGCAACAGACTATTTGGTGTCACAGTAATAATTGTTTATTATTTTGTTTTATGCTTTGGATTTATTTATTTTTTTTTGTGCTTTTTTGCTCAGCATGTATAGAAATATTTTGCTAGTAATGTTTTTTCACTATTAGGAGCACCTATCTAGATATTGTGAGCGCGGTCTCAATAAGCGTTATAGTGTTATTTATTTGGATCTAGTATACCAGTGTGTGCTTTATTTATATGCATCTCTGCTTATGTTCCGGCATAATACAGTAAAACTAAAATCCAAGTTTCAAAGCCAATTTAAAACATGATAATACAATCTGGAGGCCATTTATGCTCTGTCAATAATTGCTAAGTTTTTGTAGCTTGTCAGATTCACTTTAGACCTATATTGCTTTGCTAATAAAATCTCCACATACCACCCTCATTATATACTGAACTATGCTATTAAGATGAGAAGGGAAAAAAAAAACCACCATTTGAAGGAATAAGAAAGTTTACTTCTGATGATTCTCAGCTGCATTTATATACAGACAATTATTTATATATAAAAAAAAAATGGATGTGGAACAGCAGGGACCAGTTGCAATCTGCTACAGTAAGTATGGAGATGCTCAAATATCCTTTATCACCTCCTCCAGCTCCTCTTTGCAGTACATGTGAAACTTCTTCCCAGGCTCAATTGTAGCTAGCTGTGGAAGAAAGACACGGATAATCAGTGGGGAAGAAGGGGAGGAGATGGGTTGAGCAGCTGCTGTGAGTGTGATGAGTGTCAGCAAAAAATCTCTGCTACTGCAATGCCCCAAATATAGCCACCTGCCACCAGAATAGCTCCCTGGATAGAACCCCCTCACCCCTCCCTCTGCTGAACGAGGAGATCTGTCATATTCCTTATAACAAGCTGAGAAATGAGATCCAGCATTCTAAGGACAGGGAAAGAATTTCTGTACTTCCTCAACCAAGAAAGGAATGTGAAATATAAAGGAAAAAATACTTTTATTAAATACAAAAAATGTAAAAAGCTACTGAAGAAAAAATTTTCCCCCCCTTTTCTTTTTTTATTACCAAATGACAAAAAAAAGTTTGCAGAGAAAAAATGGTCACTACTCTCACATTTAAGATTTTTTTTTGCTAGTTAAGGAAGTTAAAAAAAAGTAAATAAAAAAAACAAACATAAAAGCATTGCAGTTTTGATGTGGCAGCTAATTAATCCAGTCTCATACTTCACTGTTCAAAGTGAATATATATTTCCATGGAGCAAAGCCGTCACTCACTGTTTTAAACAGCTTGTTAATGTTTTTGTGTGTGCTGGCATCTATTTTTGCAGCGTGTTTCTCTTTTATCTACGTCTATATTAGTGTGGGTGTTTTGCCTTCGTCTCTTTTCTCTCCGTTAGAGTGTCTGGAAATGGGAAAAGATCAATGGGAATAGTGACAGCTTACTGCAACTGAAGAGGCATTTACTGTGATACCTAAAACACATTCTAAAGCACTGTTTCTCAACCTTTTACGGAGAAGTAGCCCTGCAGGTCTAAAAAACATTTCACAAGGACCCCTGCCTCGAGAAAGTAATTTCTATTGATTTAAATTTGAAATGAAACATGTACACACTGATATGCAAGTTAACCCCATACTGGAGAACAAGTCTGATTAAATGTAGTAAAGAATATGACATAATGTGAATGTTGTGTATGTAAGGAGGCGTGTATGAACTATTAATCTGACGTATAAAAGTCACTAATTAAAAATATAATACACACTTAAAGGAACACTGCAGGGTTAGGAACACAAACATGTTATAACACCATTTAGGTGGCTTTTCCCATGTTACCCCCTTTAAAAGGTAATGAAACTTACCTTATTTCCAGCGCTGCGCAAGTCTGCACTGTCCCCGCTCTGATCCCCCTCTTGCAGACACAATCAGAATGTATTATTTTTAGCCAATCCAACGCTTTACCATAGGGAAAGCATTGGATTGACCGAAATTGGCTAAGATAAATGTCGGCTTGGCCAATCAGCACCTTCTCATATAAATGCATTGGATCAATGCATCTCTATGAGGAAAATCCAGCGGCTCCACGCAGGGCCTGAAAAGGCACTGTTTACATGAAAATGCCTGCATGGAATGATTATACCCTCTACAACAACTACATTAAACTGTAGTTGTTCTGGTGACTATAGTGTCCCTTTAACAGTGAGACACCGAGGACCCTGAAACACACACACATTTACACCCCGAGGACACCAGCACACACATATTTATACCCAGAGGATGCTGGCACATGACACTGAAACACATTTATGCACAGAGAACACTGACACAAAAACATTTACACAAAGAGGATACTGACAGACACAGACACACACATTATCTCACCCACTCACAAACTATAATTCTTTACTATAGTCCACCCAACCACCCTACCTTTGGGAGAGCTGGAGTGGATCCTTTCCCTGGGCTCTAGTGTGTGGCTGCTACCATCTTCGTGATCTTCCAGCACTGCTTCCCCCCTTACGGTTTAGTGATGACAGGGTCGGAGTGACGTCATAACCCGGCATCAGCACAGAGTGTGCAAGGGAGCAGTGCTAAAAGATCATGACTATTACAGCTCCCTTGCCACCTCCATTCCCAACCAGCCGGTCACCACTGAGTGCCGAAAAGGATGAAAGCTGGCCACCTCTTGGCATAACCCCTGCCTTTAATACGCTTATATCCTGTGGTACACATACTACAAATTGATAAACTAGGCTCTATAGCACCTCTCATTTAGGGTAATGTTTAACTTTTTAATTAAAGTGTAACTTTTACTTTAGGAAAGGATAATGCCAACTTTGCAGTATTAAAAACTAAATTTGTGCAAAAAGAATTTTAACTGCCAACTTTGTACATGTACATTTGCTCCCCCAATGTAAAAAGAGACAACCACTTAAAGACCAATTACGATACTCTGGTGTCATCACACTTGTGTCCCAGAAGAGCACGACAGTAAGTAATTTAATTTCTGGAATCAGATCCTTACACAGATTGTTATAACAGCAGAGACCCTCATTAGTCTTTAATGGATTAAGGGAGACTGGATTGTTTGCATAAAAATGTATTAAGCAAAACCAAGTTCTGTTAATTACTTTGAAAATGCTACACAAATACACACAATAAGTGCTCAATAAATACCTCAATATTGATGGCATTCAGCTTCTCCTCCATTACTTGCTTCAATATAGTGAGGGCAGATTTAATAGCTTCTTTCAGTGTCATGGACTGGAATTAAACAAAATTCAGTGTGTCTTTAGACTAGCCATTAACAACTTACACCAACACAATACTATAAGACATTTAATTCTAAATTATTGGGAGGCTTTTCAATAAAACAGGGTTTTCCTGCATTTCACTTGTGCTTTGTCTGATCCTTGACAATACTCTCACCTTGTGATAAACCTCCTGTAAAGAGCTCTGAGCTCCTTCAGAAGCAGAGCCAATAGCTCTCGCATCACACTGTACAAATGTTCCAGATGGATCCATGTGGTATCTAGGATAAAAGAAGGGGCAGATGAGAAAACACATATTAAAACCATACCATAAATAAACACTGCTTACCAAACTAGCGTGGCCACGAATTTATACTCACAGTTGTGGTCCTTTTTCATCTGCTCCGCCAAACAGCAGTGCCACACCAAATGGACGGCTCTGAAACAAAGGAAGCAGACCCAACAATGCATTTGCATACAAATTACAGGGAAAATTCCAATCAGTAACGAAGAAGTGTAAAGTCTATGCATGGACAAAGGGGGGAGGGGAGGGGGTAAGAGGGATTACCAATACAGGCAGAGAACCAAGAGATGTCAAGTTCAAACATCCTGCAGGGGAGTGCCAGAGATGCATATTTATCAAGTGCAAATAAAGAAATAACATCCCTGCTCCTCAAAGAATAGTATCAAATTTTTTTTGCAAAATATGGGAATCCAAAAACCCACTTCCTACTGGATTCTTAGTTTGAAGAGGATTACCCGGAATCCATCAGTACATAGCTATGGGTACATTTTGTAAGTTGATGTAAAGTGTGTTAGATGGCAGTTTGCCTTTAGCCGTGTTTTATTATGCAGAACCTGATGGCATTTTATAATTATTTTAGAAAAACAGGAAAATATGTTTTATATAAGAAGAACAATGTGTGACCAAGTAATTTATGGCAATGCAAGTTAGGCAACCTGGAACAAAAGGTGAAGCACATGCTGGAATGAGCTGTGTATAAAAGAAATTGGGTGTAAAACAAAACGTAAACACTAAACAAAGAAAATGGATTGCCAGGTGTACAATCTAGGATACTAACCATTGCTCCGGGATCTGCATCCTCTTCTCCAAACTGCAGCGCAAGATTAGACACAGCTTGAGTAACACTCTCCACAGTCATTGTTTCATTGTAAGTAAACCAGTGATTCTAGGCAGAGTACAGAAGTGGCAATACAATTATCTTTTTGTCACTACATTCAGGCATACAATACAGCACTCTATAACAGGGTTATTCTTTACAGTGAGAATACAAGGTGAATTTAAAATTTAAGCGCAAGATGCTACCAGTTTGGCTATTTTGGGACATTGTTGGGGAGTGCATGAGGACTAATTTACACTTTGGGAGGTTGAACCCCACAAATAATATTTAGCCTCTCACATCTGTTTCTACAGTTTTTCTAAAGAAGGTGACAAATTAAATCAGTCTGTCTTCACTTCATGATGGATCAACAAGCTGTTAATGTATTCTACACATGACGGCTATATTATTCCAGAGTGACCTCCAGACTTTTTTTTTTTTGTATATATACACTGAGTCTGACAAAGCAACATCTCTAGGCAGAGAATGGAATTCTACAAATTTACGGTTATGATGTAAAGAAAGCTTTCCTATTCTGTCCAAATGGGTGAACAGTCCAGTGATTTGTACAGTCCTATTAACAGGTTTCAGGGAGCTGTTTTCACTGTCCCTGTGTATATATGTATGTTGTCATATGTCATATGTTGTTAATTTTGTAGACTAAGAATTTTAGTCAACTAAAAGATTTGAGATTTAGTCGAGTAAAACTAGATTAAAATCATTCAGATAACTAAAATCACTAAAACTAAAAAGGCTTTTTAGTCGAAAGACTATGACTAAAACTAAATTGAAATTTGCTGCCAAAATTAACAGGCACGTGAGGGAGCCACAGAGGGGCTGGGGAAGGGGCAAAAGAGACAGATCTACTGGAGATTTTGTCGACTAAAACAATTCAGACGACTAATACGACTTTTTAGACCAAAATTAACACTGCTCTGATATGCCTTTGTTGCTAAATAAATACAATGTTTGTAGCCTTCATGGTTATCAAGTTCTATTCCGAATATTTATCTTACAGCCACAACATTTTTTCCAGTTCATGATTATCCTTTAATATACATCTGTGCCAAAACCACACTCCATATTTAAGGAAATGAGGAATATAAGTATTGTGCCATTTAAAGTGTCTGTGATACCTGTGTTTCAACTCTTGCTTTGTCGATTAAGGTCTTTGCATCAGCAATTAATCCACTCATTGCACAGCCTACAGAAAAAAAAAAAAAAACACAACATAGTGGACCATAAATCAGCTCTATATATACTTTGAATTAAATAGGCGATACTAAAAATTCCCCCAAATTAAAGGGACACGATAGTCACCTGAACAACAACAGCTTATTGGATTTGTTCTGGTGAGTAGAATCATTACCTTCAGGCTTTTTGCTGTAAACACGGTCTTTTCAGAGAAAATGCAGTGTTTACATTACAGCCTAGTGATAACTTCACTGGCCACTCCTCAGATAACTGTTAGAGATCCTTCCTGGGTCATGGCTGCCTAAAATGCATCCAAACATTCAGTATCTCCTCCCTCTGCATGCAGACACTGAACTTTCCTCATAGAGATTCATTGATTCAATTCATCTCTAAGAGGAGATGCTGATTGGCCAGGACTGTGTTTGAATTGTGCTGGCTCTGTTCCTGATCTGCCGCTTTGTCAGTCTCAGCCAATCCTATGGGGAAGCATTGTGATTGGATCAGGCTACCACTTCTGATGATGTCAGCAGACAGCTTGTTTTTCTGAGGCAAACAGCATGCAGAGTTACAGCATCAGGCTTGAATACAAGTAGGATTTTACTATTTTTAGGGAGGCATGAGGGGGACAGGGTGGTTTTAAGCCCATAGGGTCAGGAATACATGTTTGTGTTCCTGACCCTATAGTGCTTCTTTAAATGGTTAATGCAACAAAAAAAAGAAACTGTGTTTTAATAATGCACTGTTTTGGATGGAGTAAAAATAAGATATATAAAGAAATCAAAGATAAACTTATCTGCCATCCCACGCTGAGGCAAAGTTTACCCTACAGCTTGAATCTCCTCTGGTGAGGTCACTCACCCTCACTGCAGTTGGAAGGTTGTCCTGGAGATAGGTCCGATTGGGTGGCATGGAGGGGGAGAGACATGCCACCACTAGTTGTCTGTCGCAACCATGCAATGCATGCTGATGACAGACATCCAATATGCACATTAATTAACATAGAACACAAGTTTTGGGATGGATAACGACATTTCAAAGTGAAACTAGGCACATGGACTCCAAACACTAAGACCACGTCAAAACACTGCAGTGGTCATGATACTTTAAGTAATGCTCTAACAGATACTCTTAATGTGACTTACTTTGTTTTACTAAAAATAGGTTCACTTTTATATTTTGGCTTTCGTTAAATAAAGTGAAATGCTTTCAAAATAAACGTGTTAAAATGCCACATCCATTTCTGTAGCAGATACCTTTCACCTTCTACAAATGTATAAATGTACCCAAAAAGAGCAGACATTCCTCCGGGTTTATTTTAAAGAGTTATTCCAAACAACATAACTGTTTTGAAGTGGTCATGGTACAACGACCCTCTATGAACAGTACTGGAGTATGACAGCGCCAGCAGCAGTCGAGTTAATTCTACATATTTTATGCACAGGTACCCATTCATTTAGTGAGAGCATTCTCAGTTAATGAATGCACAGCACTGTTGGCATCCACTCTGCAGAAACTGGATATCTGGATAAAAGCCACCATTCATTGTACCTTACCCACGTTAGTCACAAACCATTGCCTCCTCACCAAGTAATTGTACCTGGCATCATAACCACTACAGAGAACTGTAGTGGTTATCATGCTAGGAATAACCCTTTAACTGAAGGTAATTGAATCTGTAGGGTAGCATATTCATTGGCATCAGATGCGTGTGTGTTGGGGGTTGCAATATTTACCAATGTGAGCATCTACTTCTACAATCTTCTCAATGCTGCTGGGTTCCATCAGTGGAGATGTAATCCTTTTCTCGACTGCAAGGCATACTCCTTCTGATGTCTGGATCCCAATGGCTGTCGAGCCAAGCTGAAACAAGATTATATAACAAATGTAGCTAGCAACACAGTACAATACATGATATACATCTGTTATTCCCAGTTTCAGGAGTATGACCAGAAAAAAAAAAAATATATATATATATATATATATATTCACACAATCCAGATAGCACTCCCAGGACTTGTAATAAGTATAAAACTTAGCTTTTAATTTGCTTTAAAAAAAAAAAAATAGGTCAACGTTTCAGTCTGTTGCACACAGACTTTCATCAGGAGATAATATTAAATATATATAAATTTATATTTATTTTTTAAACAAAAAACAGAGCATAGAAATCTGGGATAAATAAAATGTACATACAGAGTAAATGAACAAACAGATTACAAAAAATAGCAGGTATATTAAAGTGGCTTTAGAACTACTAGCGTTTTGAGGTAACTGTAGCAGTTATGGTGCCAGGAGAGTCCCGGTGCTCACCCAGAGTAAGTTGTCAAACCATATGAACTCCATCTGCCCGGAATACCCTATGAAGTAGTTTAAAGCTTGCCAATTCAAAGCAGCTTATATTTTAAAGAACTAGTCCTCAGCCTACACTAAAACAATTAACCAAATTCATGCAGACATCCCTTAAACACTAGCTACACTAAACACTCCAAACAGTTTAAAGTTTATGAACCTAAGCTACAGATGCATACATACACTGATCAGCCACAACATTACAACCAGTTGCCTAATATCAGTTGGGCCCCCTTTGTGCTACCAAAACAGATCTGATGCTTTGAGGCATGGACTCCCCAAGACCTCTGAACATGTCCGGTGGTATTTGGCACCAAAACATTAGCAGCAGATCCTTTATGTCCTGAAAGATGTGAGGTGGGGCCTCCAAGACTGAATGCGCTTCTCCCCCCACCTACCAGGCAGAGTAAACCCATACTGGATCACCTGAGGTATGACGCTTTATCGTAACACCATGCTTCATAGCCCCTCTCCTGCAGAAAGTCAAGCATGGGGTTATACAGAGCACCAGCACACACACACACATCATATAGAGCCAGTCCATAAACCACACCACATACAGCCAACACGCACCACACTCGCACACCACATGCAATAAACATGCACCACGACATCACCAACATACAGATAGCAGAGTTAACACTCAATACACAACCAGCACACTACGGCAGAGGGTGAGACATATACAAATAATCACAAATCCCTGATTTTTTGCAAAATAAATCCAAATGGTAAAACTGAAGCAAAAATAGCCACATTGTTTCTATGGTGGAGTTAGAGACTCTTTCCAGATCAGCTAATTGTGTCTTAACTTGTGAAAATGCAGAGTTTAGCAAATAGCCCTTCAAAGTCCACAGCTCTTGCCAGGTGTCCCCATTTTTTGTATATTAAATACATTTGTCAGGACAAATTGATTGGGTTACCACTCCCTTGAAAAAGTAGATATTTTTTCCAAATTTCACAGCCCTGTAAGTCAATACTATGTAACTTCATAAAAATGAGAAATAAGTCATTATTGCTTGTAGAGGTGATCTAACCTACACATTTTCTATCACTTAAATACAAAAAAAAATATACAATACTTCCATCTTTGCTCTCATGGGTGTGGCCCACCAAAGCTCTTGAAATACACAATGAAAAGCATGCATTGTCTCTTTATTCGCATTTAACATAATCACAATAAGTGATTATTTTTGTCTTCAATTGATCTGAAAAATATTTTATTTAAAATAGATATGTGTGTTATCAGCCCTCAATGGAATGCATTCTTAAAATCTGACTAGATCTGCCATATGGACTTGAAACCTTTGTACTGGGCTCATTTTATTTAGTATGTCTCTTGTATGTATTGTTTTCTACAAAAAGGCTTTTATAGAAAGGGGGCCTTCTCCTGCTGTCAACGGATGCAGAGAAGGGCTTTGACAGAGTATGCTGGACATACCTCTTCGAAACACTGGCCCACGTAGGATTAGGACCACACATGCGACAATGGATAGAGGCACTGTACCGAGAACCAACGGCTCAAGTGCTGGTAAATGGGGCACTGACAGATGCCTTCCAAATACACAATGGCACGAGACAGGGATGCCCCCTCTCCCCACTCCTGTTCGTCCTTGCCCTAGAACCGTTCCTTACACATATCCGAAATAACACGGACATAACCGGCCTAACGACAGGTAACACATACCACAAGGTGGCCGCTTACACGGACGACCTACTCTTTATAATAACCAACCCCGAAATCTCCCTCCCGAACATCCAGAGAGACCTACAGATATATGGAGATATATCCAACCTGAAAATTAATCATAGTAAATCGTTCATTCTCAACGTTAGCGTCCCTACTGCAAGGGCAAACCCCCTCCGACACAGCTTCCCCTTCCAATGGGCCGAGCACAAAATTAGATACTTGGGAGTCTGGTTGACTAGGCAGAGCGGAGATATGCTGAGGGAAAATTTTACAGACACACTTCAGACGTTCCAAAAAGACATGCGGGAATGGTCATATACACACACATCTCCTGGTTAGGGAGAGTACAGGTCATAAAAATGGATTTCCTCCCACGCCTCCTCTACCTCCTCCAAACCATCCCCATCGAGATCCCGAGCCCCTTTCTTAACACCCTCAGAACAGAAATGATCAGATATGCATGGAACTTAGGGAAACCCAGGGTGAAATTCACTACCCTGACGCGGCCTAAGGACAAAGGAGGCTTAGCCATCCCGGACTTCCACTTATACTATGTGGCCACACACCTACAGAGAATTGTAGAGTGGTCAAAAGACAGAGTTCACAAACTATGGAAGACAGTGGAGGAGACAGAGGCGGGTAGACCACTCTCGGGACTGCCCTGGGACAGAAACGCGACGAAATGTCCATCTACACCAGACACACCCTGAAAATATGGAGGAGGGCAGCGGTGAAAGGGAATATATATCGCCATACCCCTCTCCCCTGTCGCCTACCATTGACATATAACAACGACTTCCCCCCGGGACTAGACCCAAGAGTCCTCAGAGACATCCTTCCAGACACTCACCCATGCTTACATCACGTCCTACAGGAAGGGAAATGCAAAAAGCTATCGGACATGATGGGAGAGGTACCCCCGACCTTTATGCACCACTAGATATTCCCAACTAACCAACTACGTCCACACTCTACCACAGGGACCAGCACTCACTAGAGAACACACCACATTAGAGGTGGTCTGCATGCACCCAGACCGGCTCCCACATGGAGTGTCCTTCCTATACACCATGCTACAAACAGACATCCCAACCGAGACACCCCTATTTATGGGGAAGTGGGAGAATGCCCTAGGATACACACTGACAGACACAGAATGGGAATCCATTTGCTACCTCACGCACCACTGCTCCACACACAGTAAAACACAAGAGACAGCCTACAAATTACTAACTCACTGGTATAGGACACCACACCTCCTCCGCCAGATAGACCCAGATCATTCTGGCCTATGCTGGAGATGCCAACAAGAGGAGGGCGACATAAAACACATCTGGTGGGACTGCACAAAGATTAAACCATATTGGCAGAATACACACAAAATGCTAGAGAAATTCACAGACGAGCCACCTCCCCTGGAACCGGCAGCAATGCTCCTACACCACACTCCTGTCCCACATTCTAAATACAAAAGATCTATGACCATTCGAATACTTAATGTAGCCAAGCGAGTACTCCCCCAATTCTGGAAGCAGAGCATAACACCCCCACTTAAGACCTGGTTCAACCAAATGGAGGAACTCAGGATAACAGAGGAACTAACGCTACCCCAAAGACCTACATGGACATTTGGACATATTGGATCCTAGAGACGGCGAAGGAAGGATTCCAAATGGAACTTAGATCAGACAAACGCCAAACCACAGACAGTTAAGACTTAGAACACACACACTGGACGACAGAAGACGAAAGACAAATGACTACCCTAACACCCTCCTCCCCACCCTAATCCCGACTTTCCCCCCCTCTTCTAAAGACACACACAAGACAATAACCCCAACCCAAGCAGATATACTTATCAAGGTTGGATAAGAGGCCTGCGAGCCTCAACACATACACAACATGAATCCCAGCTGTTGTACAAGAAACATATAAACCACATAAATACAGTTTAATTAGTAAAACAAGTGGCAGATGGTAAATGTAAATGAAGTTACTTGAGAAACTTGATAATAGGGACTTGCAAATGCGTCAACATTGCGGGCCTGCGAGCCCAAACATATATTAATGTTTTATAATGTTATGATAACTCACCTTAGAGACCTGCGAGTCTCAAACCTTTAAATAAGCAATATAAATAAAAATTATATTCACAAAAAAGGCTTTTATTTATATATATATATATATATATATATATATATATATATATAAAACGGATCATTCCTGTGTTAATGCATCACTATGCAATATTGATTTTCAATTTCAGCTTCCACTTACGTGTAGTTTGACAATCACCAGTTCAAGTTAGAATAAAATAAGAATTTATGGTGTTGTATATATTTTTTTCTTGCATGATTGCCCTGATGAAAGTTCCCATATGAACTACAATGTTGATGATATGATTAAACCACTTTCTGATGTTTCCAGTGTCCATAATTGCTGACAATTTTGGAAATATTGTTTTTATACTTATATATTACAGCAAATTGAAATTCAAATTGACACTAGCTGAGCTTTGTGTAGAAAGGTGCTTCAATAAAAGACTCCATTTTTAATAATACACTTTCATTTTGTAAATGGATATAAGCACTTTCACTTTCATTTTCAGCTGGAGTAAAAAAATAAAAAAAATAAAAAAAACGACTGTAGGTAACACAGACAAATGTAAAATCGTAAGTATTGTTACCTTTATGGCTTCAATTGCATATTCTACTTGGAAAAGTCTGCCCTCTGGAGAGAATGTGTTGACACCCCTAAGAAAAAAGAAAACAAAAAAAATCCAAGTTTGATATTAGCAGATCCATTACTTTGTCTATCGTTCTGAAAACACGCACACTCTGTTCATTAACCTTGTATGCCAAACACCAAAATATGCACCAGCGACCTTAAACTTCTTGCTATGGTGTAAAAGTATAACTCTTGTGATCCCTGCCAAAAGATGTGGCAAATTCCATAGTTTCCTGCCACTGGTGATAACGGCTCATAGTATTCCTTGCCATAGTGCTTTACAGAACCCCTTACACACCTTGCAATGCTGTGATACTGGTGTGCTTATATTCATGAAGCACAATGATACTTTGTCCCTTTTATACTCCATGCTAGTGTGCACCAACCCCTGTAGATTTTTTTGCCACGGCATATCAAACTATTATGAATCTAGTCACAGCATAATACCAGACACTTTATGTTCCATGCTATGGTGTAATAGTAGCAGAATTATGCCTCTTGTCATGGTGTGATACCAGCCCATTTATACCGCTTGTCATGGTGTGCTACCAGCTGTTGCTTGTTATGGCACATTACCAGCCCACTTATGATATTTTTCATAGCTGAATACCAGCCACTTGTGGTGCAAGTCAAAGTGTGAAACCAGCCCATTTATGATTGGTATCACATAACATTTCCAGCTCTCTTATACTTCAAACCATTATGTGTAGCGGCATTCGTGCTCCTTGTCATGGCTTATACCAAACCCTATGCCAGAGGCAGGAAACTTTCAGCACTCCAGATGTTGTGGACTACATTTCCCATAAAGCTCCTACAGCCATAATACTAGAAAGCATCAGGGGAGATGTAGCCCACAATATCTGGAGTGCAGAAGGTTGACTCTACGAGTTCTTTGCCTGGTCGCAATACTGGCCCCTTCACGCGCCTTGCCTGGTCGCAATACTGGCCCCGTCACGCGCCTTGCCTGGTCGCAATACTGGCCCCGTCACGCGCCTTGCCTGGTCGCAATACTGGCCCCGTCACGCGCCTTGCCTGGTCGCAATACTAACCCCCCCTTCTTCCTAGTGCCACAGAACGGAAGCAGCTCCTTGCCATAACATGATACCTGTTTCTTTCTGCTCTTTGTCATGGCTGATACTAGACCCTACTCGTCTCTTGACCCGTGATGCCTAGAGCCACAGATTGAAACCAGCTTATTGTCACAACGTGATACCTGTCCCTTTGTGCTCCTTGTCACAGAGCAATATCAGCCGCGTTGTGTCACCTATTAATGCTCACTGTACACAGTGTCCTAAACCCATCACAATTCCACTTTTGTTCCCACAGAACTATTTTTTTGTGTGTGTGAGCAAACACTAAATTAATGAATACTAATTCCCAATGCATCATACGTGTTATATATAGAGAGAGACACTGACAGCACTGTGTATGTAGGTTTTCTATTAATATGTATCCCGCCTGCTAGAAAGCCCTGCACTGGACCTCATACAATGTGACTGTATATTACACTGTATTACACAATGACCCGGGTCCCCTGCCAGGATGCCGCCATACTGCCTGTGCTCTCACCTGTCATACTCGGAGCGGGTTAGGAACATGACTGCAAACAGGAGGAAGAGAAACAACGATCGCAGCACAAGCAAGGATGCCAATTACACAGCAAGTACGGAAAGCAAGGCCTACAGCTACCGGCATGCACTGCACATGCGCGACACTCGCCCGCCGATTCGCCAATAAGGAAAGAGCGACGGCGCCCTGATAGACGTAATGACGCAAAGGATGACGGGAGATGTAGTTCTAATCGTTAGCTGCCTTGTCATGGGAAGAGTGAGTGATGAGTGAGGTGGCCGAGGTCTGTGTGTGAAAGGAGAGAATATCTGATAGGGTGAAGGCAATAAATAATTAGAGGTTATACCAGTAACATGAATAAAATATGGCAGCTTATTATGGTCTAAGGCAGGGGTAGGCAACCTTTTAGCAGCACTGTGCCAAAATAGGATTGATGTCCAGTAGCGTGCCGGTCTAATTTTTTTAAAGGGACACTCCAGGCAGCCAGACCACTTCTGCCCATTGGAGTGGTCTGGGTGCCAACTCCCACTACCCTTAACCCTGCAAGTGTAATTGCAGTTTTTTATAACTCTACTAGACAGCCACTAGAGGACACTTCCGTGTTCTTAGAACACGAAAAGTGTTTTAAAATGACACTGGAAGTTCTCACGCTATGTGAGCACCTCCAGCGTTGAGGAAATCCCCATAGGAAAGCATTGAAAGCATTATTCAATGCTTTCCCAAGGGGAGGTCTAATGCGCATGTGCATTAGGTCTCCCCTGCCTGCTGACATAGTTTGTTTGTGGACTGTTAGTATTATTTGAATGAGGGGTGGCTTATACCACATTTCTGTGTATGTCTAGCTGTGTAGGTGGCTTCCCTGGGGTCCAGTGGGGACCTGGCTGGCCAGGTACAGGTCAAGGACAAGAGCTGCAACAGCAGCTACAGACTGCTCTACTCCAGTATGGATTCCCATTCACAAGTGCTAGAATGAAGTGATCTGAGATCACTTCCTCTAAGTGCTGCAATGCATAAATTGAGGATTGTCCTTCACCACCTTTTCATATTAGCAGAGTTCCTTGCCTGGTCACTGGGACTCCTGATTGGTCAGAACCTGTTTGGCTCTAGCAGCCTTGAGTGCCGTGCAAAGACACCGCAAGTGCCATAGGTTGCCTACCCCTGGTCTAAGGAGACGTATCAAATCTGTCAGATATTTTTTATATTACAATGAATGGTTATCATCAGTAAAGGAATATTGTAATCACCCAGACCATTTCATTGAAATTAACTGGACTGGGTGCAGTGTCCTGTCCTATTTACCCTGCAATGTAAAATATTGTAGTTTTTATAAAATGTAATGAGGCGCTTTCGCTGCACTGACCTGGTAAAACTCACATGCTTTCCTATGGAGACATGTGAATGCACACATTGCAATCTCCGTGCATTAGGTCCCAATGCGCCTCTATGAGGACCATTGGGTTATAAATAGGCAGAGATGGCCATTCCTCCTCCATGATGTCCCTGGGGCAGGATGCCCCGACACTAGAAAAAGGTCATTAAAACTTAATTTAAAAAAGAATAATATTATTTTGGGCGGGGGGACGGACCTATTTCTGATTAGGGACTGACATACTATCATTCGGAATATATTGTATTCCTAACGCTATAGTGTTTTGTTGATTAATGTGATCACAGTGGTACCACGTGTAGTGTTTCCACACAATGAGTTATGTCTTTCTGTCATTATTATATTATAATAGCCCTTTTTATATTTCTTAATTTATAAATATAAAACAGTGATTGTAAAAAGGGCTAAAATGATTTCTAGCTTCTTTAACTGTTTTAAGTATGGGCTTGTTTCTATGTTTGTGAAGCACAGCAGCGCTTCTGATGGTAAATGGTAAATATGACCTCATAAATTCTAAAAATTAGTTTTCATGGACAACGTGTTTAACATCTACATACATCTCCTGTCCACCTCAACTGGTACCGACTACCTATTCCATGGTTATTTACTAAAGTGAGAATTGAATTTTTCAAGTGGATCTGTTGCTTTTGAGTATTTCATAAAGATCTGTTCTTTATGAAATACTGATCAAAGCTGTGTTGGAATTTAAGTGAAATTCCATTGCAAACCACAGATACCATAATTCAAAGTAAGGCAGACCTCCATTGTCAACTTTTATTCAATCCCAGCAGCCATCACAAGTGACGGCTATGAGATTCAGACATTGATCTATGGAGGATCCCATGGTCTTAAAAAAATGATAATAATTTTGAATTCCCAACAGTTTGTACTTCTGTGAATAACCCTTGGTATTCTTACCATCTGCAAACTGGACATATGTCAGGAAAGAGTGACGTTTTCCAATTATTTACTATAGCAACTCCACCAGTACTCTATGAAAGGTTCTAGAGCATGCTATTAAAGGACTCCGGGCATCATAACAACATTGGAATTAAGCTGTTATAATACTAGAAGGTCTCCGGCACTAAACCATTCACACATGTTTAACCACAAAGTCTTGAATCCAGTGTCGATCCTCTCTGACGCGTTCTGTTTCAAAAATCGGAAATAGTTGAAAGGACAGGTCAGACCTAATCTGAGCTGGATACAAGACTTTGTAGTTAATCCATTTGTGAATTCTGATTCAATTGTTATGGTGCCTGGAGTGTTCCTTTAATGTTCCTATACATCTACCTTGCCAAATTTCATATTTCTTTATTTAAAACTACACCTCGATAAAAGAAAAGCTTACAGGAGGTATGTCCCCTGTGGGGTCTTTGCATATTTTGCAAAGACCACCAAAGGTGACATGCACACATTTTGTGCAGTGGTCGAGAAGTGGAGTTAAAGATGCCAAGCAGAAGCGTAATTAGAAACCATGGGGCCCCGGTATAAAATTTTTCCTAGGGTCCCCATACGTCTCACCCCCCCAGCCCCTCCATATGTCACATTCACTCCCCCAAGCCTCTCTATGTGTCTCATTCATGCCCCACAGGATGAGTGTGGCATGGTTGGGGGGCGATGAGTATAACAGAATTGGAAAAGGTTAATCTGATAGGGTAAGTGTTGCAGGGTGAAAGGGGGTGAGTGTGACAGGATTGTGTGACAGTGCTAGAGAAGGTGAGTGTAATAGGATGAATATGGCAGAGCGATGGGAGGTGAGTATGGCAAGGGTGTGTGACATGAAAAAGAAACATAGAATGTGACGGCAGATAAGAACCATTCAGCCCATCTAGTCGGCCCAATTTTCAAAATATTTTGAAATAGTCCCTGGCCTTATCTTAAAGGGATACTGTAGTGCCAGGAATACAAAGCTGTATTCCTGGCACTAGCGATCCCTCTGCCTCCCCCCTCCCTCGTGCCCCCACCTTCCTGGTGAATATTTATTTACTTACCTGATCCCAGCACCGATGTCTCTCGGAGCTGGGTCGATGTAACGCTCCGTCCGGCGACGAGCGGGGTCTAATGTACATGCATTGAATCAATGCTTTCCTATGGGGAAAATCTGACGTTGGAGGTCCTCATGCAGTACACGAGGACGTCCAGCATCAGATAAAGAACCAAGAGTCCGTTTGGATTCCGGAAGCCCTCTAGTGGCTGTCTGGTAGATAGCCACTGAGGGCAGCCTTAGTGCTGCAATGTAAACAGTGTCCCTTTAAGTCTAGGATAGCCTCATGCCTATCCCACACATGCTTAAACTCCCTCACTGTGTTAACCTCTACCACTCTGGCTGGAAGGCTATTCCATGCATGTAAAGTAATACTTCCTGAAATTATTTTTAAACCTATGTAGGTTTGGGGAGTTATTGTGAGTGTGGTAGGGTGAAGGGGGGTGACAGTGTGTGTGGTGGGGTGACAGTTACACAGACATACACTGAAACACATGCAGATAAGCAGACAAACACTGACGTACATGCAGATACATGCCATATAACACATACAGATACAGATGCGCAGACACACATGCAGATACACAGACACACAGAATGACACACATTGAGATACACAGAATGACTCTCCTACAGATACAAACACTAACATAAATACAGATACACAGACATACACTAACACACATGCGGATACACAGACAGATACACATATATACACACATATGCAGATACACAGACACTTATGGACAAACATTCAGATACTCAGAATAATACTCATACAGATACAAACAGTGACACAGATACAGGTGCATAGGGCACACGCTGACATACAGATACGCAGACATACACATACAGACACACATGCAGACAAACAGATACACATACAAACACACAGAACAGACACATACAAACACCCACACATACATAGACAGATACACATACATACAGAGACACAGATACATACATACAGACACAAACACACATACATGCAAAATGGTTTAGTTATCCTCCTGCTTCCTACCTTTTAGGTGCAGGAGGGTTACTTCACTGGGATCCAGTGGCTGGCTCAGGCTGATGGAAGTCAGAGGGAGTCAGAGTTCCCACTCTGACTCCCTCCTTTCCTACTCTCCGTCCTCCTGCACGGCTCGGTTGTTGCTGGGAGGAGTGACTGGGGTTGTCACTTCCTCCCAGTTCTGACCTTATCACAGGGGGCCCGGTCGCGCTGTTAAAGCACCATGGTGCTGACCGGGACCCCTGGAAATACTTTGTCATCGGGTGACCCTAACAGATTGGGCCACCCGATGGTCCCCTAAATGTCTGTGAGCCTGTGTACCAGTGAACTTGTGTACTTGTGTCAATGAGATTGTCTGTGCCTGCATGTGAGTATGCTTATTTTTACTAATATTTATAATTAAAAAAGGAACATACCAATAATAAAAGTATATATTTATATTTTATATATCCTTTAGGGAGAATGTTAAATATCCCTTTATAATAAAATATGGCTACGTCTTGCTACCCCAGATTTAGTAATTCTATATATATCAAATCTATGGGAAAAATTTTTATGCCAGTCCTATAAGTCACGGTAGTGTTTGTGTGTGTGTGTGTGTAAATATATGTATATATATACACACACACACACACACACACACACACACACACAGAAACACTACCATGGCACAGTGACTTATGGGGCTGGCATACATTTTTTTTCCAGGGCTGCTTTGCATTCCCAGTCCGGCCCTGCTTCCTGGTTAGCTATTGTGACAGTGGGGGAAGGCGATATGGGCCTCTCTATATCATGGCAGTGGCATGGCCACTACTCTTCTTAGCCCTTTACAAGCAAATGCACGTGGATCTCATTCCTCACTATGATGTAACATTGTTGTTTCAAGGCTCTTAATAATTCTTACTATTGTCTTCAAAGGCTGTATCGTTCAGAATGTTCTATTTTGCATGCTATAGCGCTGCTTATTATTTGTATTTTCATTTGTCTTGTGGATTCCCTGTCATTGTCTTTTATTGTACTGTACCTTCTTTTTCAAGTATAAATAAAGAATGAAAAAAAGAAGAATCAGACATATATTCCTATGATTTGTGATGTGAGGTGGATGATTAGAGGCATTCCACTTTCCTGCTGGGTGTGCCAGTGGTGTATCCTGGTTTTGTATCCTGGTTTTGTGCTGCCCTATATGTGTGTCTGAGGAAATAAAATGAAGAACATACTGAGACAAAAATGTAAGTGCAGTGAATGGGGCTCCAGAGTCTTGATGCGAAATGGCACTTTTTTGGCCTTGTAGGGGAACAGTGCCTATGTGTCACGGCTGCTAGTGTGGTCCAACACGCAGAAACTATGTAAACATATACATACAAAAGGAAAGGAAATAAAAGGACAAAGCGTAAACCGGACCTTAGAATGGCCGGACTAATACGCTAGAGATAGAGAATGGTCAAAGGGAAAGCCGAGATCAAGGAAGCCAGAAATACTCAGATACCGTTTAAACAAGCCAAGTCAGGGGAACCAGAATTCAGAATAACCAGGGAAAAGCCAAGATCAGGATACCAGGAAGTAAAATTCACAAAGATAAACGCACTCTAGGGAACCAGGAACAGGAAACCACGACAGGGCAAGGTACTAGGGTGAATTAGGGATTTAAATATCCCTCTCTAGGCTCCAATTGGTCAAAGGGTGACCTCTGACCCCAGAACGTGCGCGTGCGTTGACGTTGTGACGTCACGCACATGTTCGTATAATTTTGGGGGGTGGAGCCATGGATGGACGTGACCTCATGGTCGGCGCCATCATGGATTTCCCCGAGCGGAGTGGAGGAACGGTTCCCAGCTCGCCGCTGAGCAGGTAAGCTCAGTGAGTTGGTGCGGTCGTGCTGGTTGGGCACGGACGCACATGGCGGCGAGCCTGGGGCCGTGACACTATGATGATTTTTCATAAAATTTTACTTGTCCCTGGTAGTTAACAAATATAGGCCTCGATTTACTAAGATTTCACAATGATTTAATACTGTTAGAAGACTTTCCAAATGATTAATCTACAAAAATTCCCCTAGACTCTTTTCTGTCGTTGCTCATAATTACGTGAGAAGTAAGTGAAGAAGAAAATATACCATAAAAAAAGGTTACATTTATAGATGTTTTTAAAAACATGTCACTAGAGACAAGGCCATTTTGAACACTGCCAGGAACTGAGGAGCACTGCGATCATAGAAACATAGAATGTGACGGCAGATAAGAACCATTCGGCCCATCTAGTCTGCCCAATATTTCAAAATACTTTTAATTAGTCACTGGTCTTATCTTAAGTCTAGAAAAGCCTTATGCCTATCCCACGCATGCTTAAAATCCCTCACGGTGTTAACCTCTACCACTTCAGCTGGAAGGCTTTTCCATTCATCCACTACCCCCTCAGTAAAGTAATACTTCCTGATATTATTTTTAAACCTTTGTCCCTCTAATTTAAGACTATGTCCTCTTGTTGTGGTGGTTTTCCTTCTTTTAAATATAGTCTCCTCCTTTACTGTGTTAATTTCCTTCTGAAGATACGGTCTCCATTACTGCGTAATGAGGTCTCATCAGTGTTCTGTTCAATGGCATGAGCACTTCACTCTTTCTACTGCTAATACCTCTCCCTATACAACCAAGCATTCTGCTAGCATTTCCTGCTGCTCTATTACATTGTCTGCCTACCTTTAAGTCATCTGAAATAATTACTCCTAAATCCCTTTCCTCAGATGTTGATGTTAGTAGGGTATCAAATATCCTATATTCTGCCCTTGTGTTTTTACGTCCAAGGTGCATTATCTTGAATGTATCCACATTAAATGTCAGTTGCCACAGCTCTGACCATTTTTCTAAATTATTTGACTTATCCCTCCTGGAACATCAACCCTGTTGCAAATTTTAGTATCATCAGCAAAAAGACATACCTTACCATCAAGACCTTCTGCAATATCACTAATAAAAATATTAAAGAGATTGTGTACAGATCCCTGAGGTTCCCCACTGGTGACAAGCCCAAGCTTCGAATATATTCCATTAACTACAACCCTCTGTTGCCTGTCACTCAGCCACTGCCTAACCCATTCAACAATATTGGAATCCAAATTCCAAGTTTATTGATGATCCTTCTATGTGGAACAGTAATAAATATAAAAGAAACAAATTAGTAGAGAAGTAAAACAAGAGATTAAAAATAAGAAAAGGGCATTTAAAGCATTTAAATCAGACAAATCAGAGGCATCCTATTTAAGATATAAGAAAGCCTATAATGCTTGCAAAAAGGCAATTCAAGTGGCTAAACTAGAAAATGAGAAATTGATAGCTAAAGAATGCAAAACCAACCCCAAAATTTTTTCAAGTACATCAATTCTAAAAAAACAAAAAATTAAAGTGTAGGTACACTGGAAACAGAGTTGGGTTTATTAGCTAATGAAGACCAGGAAAAAGCAGAAATTTTAAATAACTATTTTTCTTCAGTATATATTAATGAGGATCCTATGGCAAGAGATATGCAAATGATTGCTGCAAAAAACTTGCAAATAACTTGTGATTGGATAACTCGAGACAAGGTGCTACAGCTATTAAAGAAATGTAAATAAAGCTCCGGGGTCTGACAGTATTCACCCACGAGTACTTAAGGAGCTAAGTGGGGAAATAAGTGAACCTCTGTATTTAATTTTTCAAGATTCTTTTGTTTCAGGTGTTGTACCGAAGGATTGGAGGAAGGCAGATATTTTTCCTATATTTAAAAAGGGTTCAAAATCCTTGCCTGGAAATTATAGACCTGTGAGCTTAACTTCTGTAGCTGGGAAAATATTTGAAGGGCTATTAAGGGATAATAGTCAGGAATTCATTGAGAAGAACTTTGTTATTAGCAATAATCAACATGGTTTTATGAAACATAGGTCATGTCAAACAAACCTAATTGCATTCTACGAAGAAATAAGTAGAAGTACAGATCAGGGTTTGCAGTTGATGTGATCTACTTGGATTTTGACAAGACATTTGATACAGTTCCTCACAATAGGTTAGTCTTCAAACTAAAAGAAAATAGTCTAGATGAATATTCTTGTTCTTGGGTAGAACATTGGCTTAAGGATACAGTACAACGAGTTGTCATTATTGATACATTTTAAGGCTGGACAAAAGTGGTAAGTGGTGTCCCTCAGGGTTCTGTTTTGGGACCACTTCTATTTAACATATTTATAAATGATCTTGAAATAGGCATTGAAAGCCATGTATCAGTGTTTGCAGATGACACAAAACTTTATAAAGTAATAAAATGTGAGCAGGATATTGCTTTGCACTTCGGGGTTAAGAATGCACAAGCAACTTACACACTAAATGACAGTGAGTTAGGGATAACCACACACGAGAAGGATTTGGGAATTGTTAAAGACAGCAAATTATGCAGCAATATGCAATGTCAATCTGCAGTTGCTAAGACCAGTAAGGTTTTGTCATGTATAAATAGGGGCATAAATTCTCGAGATGAAAATATAATTTTGCCTCTCTATAAATCGCTGGTAAGACCACACCTTGACTATGCTGTGCAATTTTGGGCACCTGTTCTAAAGAAAGATGTCATGGCACTAGAAAAAGTCCAGAGACGAGCTACAAAATTGATAAGAGGAATGGAGCATTTTAGTTATGAAGAAAGGTTAAAAAAATGAAACCTGTTTAGTCTGGAAAAACAGCGCCTGAGAGGGGATATGATAACTTTATACAAATATATTCGGGGCCAGTACAAACCTTTATCTGGAAATCTATTCATAAACAGGGCTATACATAGGACACGAGGTCACACCTTTAGGCTGGAAAAAAGGAGATTTCATCTAAGGCAAAGAAAAGGCTTTTTTACAGTAAGAGCAATAAGGATATGGAATTCTCTGCCTAAAGAGGTGGTTTTGTCAGAGTCACTACATATGTTTAAACTGCAATTGGATAAATACTTACAAAAACATAACAGACAGGGATATAATTTCTAATTAGTGGGGTAGTACCTGCTTGATCCAAGGAGACATCTGACTGCTATCTTGGGGTCAAGAAGGAATTTTTTTTCCTAATTTGTGGCAAAATTGGAAGCGCTTCAGACTAGGTTTTTTGCCCTCTTTTGGATCAACAGCAACAACATATGTGAGGAAGGCTGAACTTGATGGACGCAAGTCTCTTTTCAGCTATGTAACTATGTAACTATGTAACATTGTCTTTTGTAAAATCTAACTCCAGATGGATTACCTCAGCCATTACCAAGGCATCCGAGGCAAAGCAAACTCCAGTTCCCAGATGTCGAGGGCATACTTTACGAAGGCTTTGTCTACCTCCTGGGCAGCTGTTGAACATATCTCCTCTGATTGGATTTGTAGGGATGGTACTTCCCAAAATATTTTCATTCAGCACTATCTGCTGGAAGTTAGGTCCTCCAAGGAATCAGGAGTATCTCTCAGCTTTATGAATTACTATGCATTTTGTAATACAGATTTTCAACAGTTTTCTGATTGAGTGTGTTTTTTCTTCCTTTTAGAGGTTATTAGCGTGGGCTTTGCTGTAGAGAGTGCAGTCATTGTCATGGCTTGGAAAAAGAAAAATTTATTCATACATACTGATATTTTGCTTTCAGGGTGATGGAACATGGCAGCACTGCGCTCC